CTGGACATTGACAAATACACCCTAGTTCAAGAAATAACTGAATGCTTTTTCTAAACTCTTACATCTACACGGAGTATGTTTCAAATCAGCCTGGTCTATGAAACACAAACACGTTGAGAGTAATCTCAGAAACTTATTTCCCCTATCTAACTAATCTTTGTGTTCTTTGACCAACATTTCCCCAATTATACTAGGAGTTAGGTCAGAAAAAGTAAAACAGTATGTATTCAAATTAGTCCAGTGGCTCCTTATTCTCAGAATTCTCTTCAGGAACTGATTAGAGACTAAGAAATTGGTCCGACCAGTTTCAATTCACTTATTAAATTATTAAATGCACAACAACTCAACCCATTTGTTCACTGTAGCAGAGTCAGTTAGTAGTCACTAAAATTTCTATCAGGATTCCATGAGCGTCTCTGCCTTTCTTATCCTCACTTCCATTAGGCTGTGCCATGAAACCTACTGTTGCCAATGGGCTGTGGAGTGATAGTGACTGGGGTCACCTCCTGACAAAAGCAACTAAAAGCTGTTGGACTTCCCACATCCTTCTTATTCCCTGTAATAGGAGACAGTAGAAATCACACATTGACATGTTTATACCATAAGGAATCTGGCTGACTGAGTCAAAATGGAGAGATAAGTCCCCTGAACACTCATAAAACCTTACATCAGGGAGATACAACCTTGCACTGAGTCACTGAGATATACTGGTCGCCTCAGCATCTCAGCGTAGCCTGTATAACAAGCACCAATGTCATCAACCCCAGAGAACACATTTCTGGTCTAAGAGAAAAGTGTAAAGTAAGAAAAAAATTCTGTCTTTGGAGTCATTTTTCAGCATCGTTCTCCATTCTCCAAAATTTGCCCCTTCCCCATTAGTCAGTATTCTAGAAGAAAAGTCTACAATGACATTGAGGTACTGCACTTCCTAGAGGGCTGATCTTCCTACAGGTTGGTTTCTTTGCAAAAAGCCAGATGGATAAAGCTGGCACACAACTGACAGCAAGTTAGGATGACAGGCTGAAGCCAGGTGGCCCACTCTTATTACGGCTCCACTTACCCTCCATTTCCCTGTATGTAAGATGTGGATAAAAATACAACCTACCTCATAAAAGTGCTATGAAGAATCAATGAGTTAACATACACAAAGTACCTCAAACCACATGTGGCCCATTAGCATTATTTAAGGGTGTGATAGAACAGAAAAAGTCAGTGATTTTTTTTAAAAAATGATATTTTAACAGAAAATATTGATGGTAACCTGACACAAACCTGGCCCTCAGGAGTTACTGTGTTCAGAGACAAATTTGACTCAATCTCACTTCATCTGGCCCTAACCAACAAGGTAAATCGAGGATTCTGATCAACACCCAATATTGCTATCTAAGGACATTCGTTAAATATGAGCTTGTGGTTCTATGGAAAGTGGTAGTGAAATGATCTTGCTCTTGGTGGGTCTATAAATAATTGCATAATTCAAACTAGCAATGTGAGCCATGAAATTGGATAGAACATTGTAAAGAAAACTAGACTATTAAACCAGCCTGGACTCACCATTTTTGCAATCATGGTGACATAGGGACCTGCGTGTTGATTCACAGCAAAGAAGTCCAGGAGCCGTGAGTACCAGAATATGATGTCTAAGCAGTAGATCAGTCTTCCCGCAGTATGAAAAGGAGGGTCACCCCACCGAAGGCCAAAACCAACCAAAAACAGCCCAATAGCCACAGTTTCCATTAGGTTCCAGTACTCACTAATCCATAACTTCACCTTTTGCGTAAACTTCCCAGGTTCTGAAATACAAACCTAAAAAAAGGAAGAAAGAGTGAAACTCAAAGAATGGTGTCCAGCCCAAGAATCCCATCAATACTATCTTCTCACGTACATTAACTGCTTCTTTTTTTTTTTTTTTCCATGTACATTAACTGCTTCTTCTTCTTTAAGAGGAACATGACTCCTGGGACCAGCAGTTAGCATAATGGCTATGTTGCTGGACTCCCATGTAGTCGACCACGGTTTACATCCCGGACCCAGTGGCTTAAACTCACACTGGGCATGTGTGCATGCATGCCCAAGATCCTGAGAGGAGAATGGAGGAGAAGGGATTGCGGCATGGCCATCCCCCCTGGGGGGTGATTTCTCGCTTTCTGTCTCTCTGTCTCTCTCTGTCTGTCTGGCAAGTGCACGTGCCCTATAGCAAAAACCTCTCAAAAAAAAAAAAAGAGTAACATGAGTCCTGTCAAACCTTAAATCACACAGGGATTTTAGAGACTTAAACTCTCCTAAGTAATGAATTATTCACGCAATCCTATAAACATATTTTAATGCCACTGTTCATGCTAGACAGTCACTTGAAAACCTAACTAGAAGTTAAAAAGTAATAATAAAAGTACTTTTTCTTGCTTTCATTAATCATAAATTCACATGAGAAAATCTCAAGACATTTTGAAACTAGGTAGTGCCACGGAGCTGCATACTTATAATTCCATTTCATGAAGTATGGTAGAATGAACAACACTAGATAGAAACCTAGTCCCCCCACCTCTAGTTAGTGAGTTGTTAAATACCCAGAATGCTATGCTGGAGCTCACTTTTAAAAGGAATTGTCCCTAAAGCACCATATTAGACAAACTGAAAGATGAACTTTTTCTTTATTGAAGCATAATAGATAGTAGAGCACAGATAACTTTTTTAAGTTTTGCTATAGAGCACGTGCATTTGCCAGAGAAAGAAAGAAAGAAAGAGAAATCACCCCTTGGTGGGGCAGGGAACAGGGGGGGTGGGGGGCCGTGCTGCAATCCCTTCTCCATTCTCCTCTACGGATTTTTAGTGCACATGCACATGCACCTGGCATGGTTTTCAAGCAGCTGATTCTAGGATTTGAGCTTCTCAGTCGACCCTGTGGAATCCAGATCTTAAATTCTGCACCACCTGCTGGCCCAGATAACATTTTTCTCCCAAATTCTTTTCTATAATCTATAAACTCCACACAGTTACTGGCCGGCAATATAGGCATACTTACCACAAACACATTTACCTCGTATGTAATGTTGGTCTTGTATCCCTCAGAACGAAATGTGTGTAAATGCAGAAATAGAGACGCCAATGCCCTATCATCTAAAACAGCCTAAGTCATAACTACTTGTGACTGCAGTTATAACTGCTTAGCAATGTTGACTCTTCTTTAAAAGTGATTTATCATAAGCTAGAAATGAAAATGTTTTGTTTTGTTTTGCTTCTTGGACTATCTGTCCTAAAGGGATTTTCAGTTTCAATTTTCCAAGATGTTTAGTAGGTCTTTCAAAAGCTATGAATGTATTGCTTATCTATTATACAACTGTATCCATTTATGAGCCATACTGTGAGATAAAACTGATAATATAGAAGTTATGCTATAAAATTTTTAAAAACTGCAGAGGTACCAAATTGATTGGTAAACACACTTGGGGATGTGCTTCAAAAATAACTGTTTCTTTTTTTTTTTTTTTTTTTGAAGAGTTTTTTGTTATACGGCGCATCACCAGACAGACAGAGAGAGACATAGAGACAGAAAGCGAGAAATCACCCCCCAGGGGGGATGGTCACACCGCAATCCCTTCTCTTGGGCACGCACGCACACGCGCCCAGCGTGAGTTTTAAGCCACCGGGTCCGGGACGCGAACCGCGGTCGACTACGTGGGAGTCCAGCGACATAGCCATTATGCTAACTGCTGGTTCCCAAAAATAACTGTTTCTCAAGTGAACCAACCAGCAGAAAGTATGGGGTCATCTGAAAAGTCACAACACATTTTTGTATATGAAAATACAGAAAAATACATCATGATATTTCCGATGACCCAATATTTGACAAGGATAAGGGGCTGAAACCAGAGATCCCCCCTGCCCCGCCCATATAACTTTTTTGTTGCATGGAAATCAGAATGGGCATTTCCTGTCTCCTCTCCCCCTTTGATGTACCCATTTTCACCACCAGAGCTGAACACCTGCAGCAGAGGCATGTGGGAGACACCGCAGGAGAGACAACTCACCTCCCTGACTTTCTCCATGGCATTGGTGAAGATGTAAATGATAACAAGCCATTCTTGCACGCTGGGCTGGGGCTGCATCTCCACCAACACAGTGTACGTGAACAGCATGAGGAACGCCAAGTACGTCATCTGTGAGGGGGACACACATACCCGGACGTCAGCGAGAATCATCACGAGGACGCCAAGCAGATGCAAACGGAGCCAAGCAGAAGCACAGGCACGACGTTCAACATGGCAACATGAAAGTACAAGTGGGTCACCTTCTGATGACTAATGCCTTCTATCGAGGAAAGCACGGGGGTCCCCGGTTTCCAAGTCCAGGACTTAGTGACAGGAATGAAAATCACTGTCCTCAGCTGCATGGGAGGAGACACGATCTCACCCTGTTGGCTACTGACCAGAACTTCCAGAATTCCCTGCACATTGCAGCACAGACAACGTCAGGCTCACAGCAAGCCAAGCAGGGATCATGAGGCTTCCCTCCATTTTAAATGTAGACGAGTGTGCCATGTCTGTCAGATAACCAGGGTCAGAATACATGCATTTCAAATACAATGACCTGTGGCATTTTCTACTTCTGGGAGCTCTATTTTATGTTGGGATTAAAAGATTCTGATTGATAGGAAAGTTTTGTTAATCCTTTGTAATTAAGGACTTTGTGTTGGTGTTTGTATCTTCAAAATTATGCCTGAGACATGGTAGATGTTAAATAAATGTGTGTGTGATTACTAACTGTATATTTTTTAAATAATTATTTAATTGTATTTAGTTATTTATTTTAATTTGCTATAGGGCATATGCATTCATAAGAGAGAGAGAGAGAAAGAAAGTGAGAAAGCAAGCCACTGGGTCTGGGACTCAATCTGTGGTCAGCAATGTGGGAGTCCAGTACCCTAACCACCACGCCATCTGCTGGCCCCTCTAAATGTATATTATACCTAGATTTCTAATCTCTTTAAAGAAATAAAACATAGTCCACACACACACACACACACACACACAGAAAAAGACAGAGTAATTAAGTGTTTAGTAATCTTATCTAATGTTCTTAATACATATTCCCACAAGTTGAATAGCTAGGTATGCACATTTAAAATTACCACAAATATTACTCAGTTACTGACCAGAAAGGCATTATCAATTTATACTGTCACTGAAAATGTATGAAACTGCACAGTCTTTTTTTTCTTTGAAGAGGTTTTTACTATAGGGCATGTGCACTCACCAGAAAGACAGAGAGACAGAAAGAGAGAAATCACCCCTTACAGAGGATGGGCACGCCGCCAGCCCCTCTCCTTCCTTTTTCTCTC